TAGCAATTACTTGCTGAGGAATGATTTTGTAAGCCTGAAATCGGCTGCATCTCTTTGTGTGGGAAAAAAATCAGTTTATGTTCCCATCTAGTGAGGCATCACAGACCTGGGGCCGGTCCAGGTATCCACCGTCAAGCACTCCTGGTGTCCACTTTGAGCGCGTTCACTGCCGCCTGCCAACATCTCATTGAGTAACTGAGCTCAGTCTGTCACAGGCGACATGTTGTCTCTCAGTAATTTGTGATAATTTCTTTAATTGAGCAAAAGAAATCTCTAAAATGAGGGTGGGTCAATCAAACATTCAGGGCAATAGGTCAACAGTAAAAGCCCCCTTCTCGAGCTGTATCCCTGGTGTCCTGTGAAGTTAAGCCACCAGCCAGTGGCCTCCATCCTTTAGCTTAATAGGAAAACGTTCTGCCAAATGGACATTTGAAGGAAACAGTAACACACTCATTTGCACCATAATGCTCCACACTTGAGAACATGTCTGTAAAAGTAGTTTTCACGACAACATAATTTCAATTAGAAGCACACAAATTCCAATCTGTCTTAATCAAGTAACACTGTAATGTTTCTATTCTAATTAAAAAATAATTTCTTTTATTACTCTTAACAATTTGATGTGTTTCTACTGGTGAAATTATGAATGCAAAACAGCTCTATTTGCCTATACTGTGGATTTCTCAGGTAGGATATTCCAAGACTATTTTAATTATTATTAAACAAGCAAATGGTATGCTATTAGACAAATATTAAAACAAGCATTGCACTCAGTTATTAATTTGCACTATTCACTTTTAAATGCAACAAATATCTCATTAATTTAATTTTAGGTGCCCACCAGTTTATATTGCATTTTACAGTTTAGAAGGCAATTTACTATTAACTGGCAATTACATACACAGTGATTGTTAATTCTGCTCCTAAGTGCTAGCCGCTTGAAAATTGTTCTCTCTCTCTAATTTTTGACCTTCTTACAACAGGGGTGAGGCACACTGGGAATACAGAGAACTAGTATGGAAGTGCTGGACATGTCATTTGTGACTCCTTCTTTTAATTCACCGTGCTAATCAACTGAACTGCCACAGCCTCCCAAGGTAATTGTGACTTGAGAGTAGTTGAAAGCAGCCAGCAAAGGGGCTGGATGGATGGGGCCTGGTCTGCCTTCCTCTACCCTGGTGGGAGAGGCTGTGTGCCCACTCTGGGTTGACTAATAGAGTCTGGCTCTGAAAAATCTCCTGTTTCTCAGGTCACTGTAAACAGATCATTTAGGCTTTTTGCAAAGCCCCTCCCAGCTCTGGCAGGCTGTCTGGTAACCCCTCCTCTGAGCACAGGTTCATTATCCTGCAGCCTGGCTGCCCCACAGCGGGCCTCACACTGGGAAGGTAAAATGTGAAGGTGTCCCGGCAGCCTCCTAGGCCTGGGGACACTGATGGGAACCAGATGCCCAGGGGACGGCGCCCATGTCGTGACATCCATTGGGGCTGGCTCAATTTTCAGCAGGGAGTGCAATTCCCAGTGATTACTTCATTGTCCCCATCAATTTTGGGGGCAATGCAAATCAGACAGAAGCTTCCAGGTCAGACAGGGTATGACCCCACCTTTCCTCTGCTCCCTCAGAGTACGGAACCCCATATCCCTTACACAATGTTTGAAATGTATATTCTTGCTAATGATGGGGGTGGGGGCACTAAATTAACTTCCAGCTAGGGAAGGCTGAACTGCTGTGTGGCTGCATTCAAAGCACCCATGCCTGGGAGAATGTCTATGGAGAAAATCCCTGAGCTCTGTGCAGAGGGACCCTGGACTTGTGACCCACAAAGCCCAATCTACGCCAGAGCGGGCATAATGGCCATGCAGAAATGGAAGGTGGGTCTCTGCACATGCTGGTGTAGCTAGAAATAGCTCCCTTGGAACTATTGGAGGCTGTAAAGGACATCCCAGACATCCAGAGAGGACACCTCCAGCTGGAGGCCAAGGGTCTACAGAAAGAGCAGCAGTTCTCTACCCACTGGCCCAAAAAAGCTATAAAAGGGGACTGCAGCCATGTGACATCTACCAGCCAATAATAGGCAGCAACTCCTACCAGGGCCATCTTTTCTCCTGCATATATGCATCTGTTTACAGGTGTTCAACCCCCATCCTTTCACTGAAGCACTCAGAACTGAATGCTCAGCAGAAGACAGGCAAAGGATAGAAGGAAGGGACCTATTCCTAAAAATAGTTCTCTTTTTAAAAAAAGTCTCTATGCCTAAAACAGCTGTGCAAACTTCCCCACCAAAAAGCCAATGCACACAGTAACTTAAAGGATCTATTGGGGCTGGAGATTTAGCTCAGCAGCATAAGTGTCTGCCTTGCAAACGCCCAGTCGTGAGTTCAATCCCCATACCAAAAATAAAAAAAGAAAGAAAAAAGAAAGAAAGAAAGAATCTGTTGGGGGCATTCCTTAAAGAATTCAGCAGGGTCTGTAATCCCAGCATTCTAGGAGCCCAGGAAAATGCAAACTGTAATCCAGTCTGGGCAATTCAGTGCAAACTTGTTTCAAAATTTAAAATAAAAAACAAAAAAAAAGGGACTTGGGAGGCAGCTCAAAGCAAAGTTCCTAGGTTCAGTCCTTAGCATGCCAGCATGTCCTCCCCCCCCCACTCCCACCCCACCCCCGCCGCCAGTCCTACAGTCTGATGTGAGAGCAAATGATACACTCCTGTGCAGGGAGAGTCACATGGGGACATGTCCTCATTGTGATGCCACCCAGGTTATCTGGGTGACACAGGAACTCGTACATAACACCTGACAGATGTTTGCCATAGCACAGTAATCAATGTCTCCACCTCTAAGAAACTCACAAGGTGGGCAGGTTTCCCACAGACCCTAACAGAAGTTCAATACCAATCCTTTTCTGCAGGAGGCACACTTCACTAAGGGTCTGCCATGCACACAAGGCAGAGCAGAGAAGAAACTAGGACTCAAAGGAGTTAGGAAACACAGGCTCAGGTCCTGTGGTCTCAGGAGCACAGGGCTGGTCTGGCTATAAATCCTAGATCCTTGCGTGGCTCTTGCTGTGTTTACAGCTTCAAGTTCACAGCCAGAGACTCATGTAGTGCCTATACCAACAGTGACTGTGGAAAAACAGGCAGAGTATGTACAGTGACTGTGGAAAAACAGGCAGAATGTTACCACAGCTCACACACCAAGCCTAAAGCAAAATTCTGATTTTTCACTTCTCCCAGGGACTTAGTACCTATAACAGTTGTCCCTTCCTGCACAGAAAAAGCACTTATTTGTTGGGATATAGATACTCCTCAATTTATATCTTGTTAAACTCATTAAAAGTTGAAAATATCGTTATTTATGTACTCATCGTCATTCATCTTGAGATACAGTATCATTTTGTAGTTTGGTTGGCCTCGAACTTGTGACCCTCCTGCCTCAGCCTGATGCAAGCTAGGATTACAGGCATGCACCACTATACCCATGGAAGTTGCAGATATTTTCAAACATAAATGTATTGCATACAACCCATGGAACATCAGAGCTTAACCTAGCCTACCTTAAACGTGCTCAGAATATTTACCTCTAACACAGTCTATTTTGTAACTGCATAGTATATTAAATAATATAGTAAAAATGAAAAACACAATAGTAATACAAGTATGCTTTCATATCACAGGAAGCCAAAAGTTGGCAAGAAATGTGAACACCATCAGCTTCCTGCAATATCTGCCTGCCCTGGAATCCCTCAGCAATTCTGGGCTTCTGCTTTTCTGTGGACTGATCTCAAGGACAGTGGCCCTAGCCTAGGACAGTACCTCTCTCCCACCTGGACTATGTGAGGGTGCTGAGCTGTCAGGGGACTAAATGACTCTACTCTGAGGACCCAATCCAGGCAGAACCCTGGAGATATTGAACCTACTAAGGAGTAGGGCATAGGGAGGTTTACATTTTACCTGTCATGCTCTGAGCAACCTCATGGCTGATTAACCTCCATGACCTCCCTGAACCAAAAAGGGGAAGGGAACCCAGCATCCCCTGTGTCACCGGCTTGCTAGGCAGAGGACAAAATGGCACTCCAGTGGATTCCAGCCCTCCCAGGTACTTTCAGGTGATGACAGAGTAGGAGTTAAACCAGAGGCTCCGGGTCTGGGCTCCTGACAGACCTCATGTCTGCTCCAGGATTCCAGACATGACCACCTACCCACTGAAAAGCACCTCAAGGCCACAAATATCCAAGAAGTACTCTGCCCTTCCAGCTTTACTGGGTTTTAGCAGGTATTGTCCAGTATCAAAAACATTCCTTAATCATTACAAGCTGTAGAGCTAAGATTAGAACCCAAATGCAAACATGCTTTAATGTGAACTTCCTGACACTTTTCAATAATAATTTCAAACAAATCATGTTAGTTAAGAACTTGTATGGGCAAAACATTATATAAAGCAATTTTAAGATAATGAGCATAAGGAACTGCATAGTACTCCCTCAAGTAATATGAATCTCCTTTAAGAAGCACTGGTACATCCATAAGGCCTTAACACCCCAGGTTGGAACACAGTGACCTAGCTTACACTGGAGGCTTCCTGCTTACTGGGTATGTGACAGCCTATGACTTCTCTTCTCTGAGCCTCAGTTTATGGGACTGAATTAAGTAGAACATCACAGAGCAGAGGCTAGAGTGACAAGTTAAGCACAGAGCGCCCCCCTGCATACAGCTTGGGCACATAGGCAGCCACTCTGATGAAAGTTGGGGATTGCTGCTATTTCTAACAAGTATCCCCAAAACTTTGCTTTTGGGACTGTACCCATCTACACTATCATGTGCCATCCTGGATAAAAATAGGAAAACCATGTACCTGGCAAAACTCAACCACAGGCCAACTGAGCCTCATCCACCCTCCTGCTGATCCTTGCACCTGCCTGTGCAGCCCTAAGACACTTTCCTGAGTGTCTCCTAACCTATGCTTCTACCACCTCTGTATCATAGAAACTAGAAACATGCACTCAC